CAGTCTTGCCATGAACAAAAGTGTTTAACATGCGCCCCCAAATGTGTAATTTATATAACATATACATCAATACCTGTCCTAGTTTATTACAGAATATGCACAAAAATTGAATTATAAAAGGATGACATTAAAAAGGAAACAAATGGAGGCTCCAGTTTTCTTCACCACCACTACTGACAGGACTCTGCATGCTCATGGGGCTCTTTGGAGACCACTAGTCCAAAGGAAAAAGCCAAAGCTCCTCTGAGTGCCATACAAGCTGTGTGGCATGTGTGCCCTGCCCACATCTCAACTTTACCCCTCACTACTGTACCCACACACCAGATGCTTCAGCACTAACTAATTGTAGTCTCCTCATTGAACAAGAAGTTAAATTTTAACTTGTGCTCTTGAAATAAGATAAACGTCCCTGCATCTTTGCAGTTGTTCTTTCCTCTATCCTGGAATGTCCTTATTGCCCTTTTCCGCCAGGTCAGCGTTCAAGTGCCTCTCTCTAAAAGATTGATTACTCCCACCACAGTGTGCTTATTTCTATTTTAGTATTTTTGTCATTGTATTCACATTACACATTTGCCTTTCTATCCTAGAAGCTTTGCCATGGTGCTTTAGCCCCTTGAGGACAGAGGACAGTGGTACTACCCAACCTGGGCCTCCACTGCCTAAATATTGCCAAATGGCAGTGGAAGAGTTTTGCCTTACGTGTTAATCTAACTCTTGAATTGACCCAACACATTCTACCCAAGTTCTCCATCTATCTGTCACATCTAAATTCATGACCTGCTGCAGCTACTGAGCCACTGGTACGGATAATTCATATCTGAGTCATCCAAATAAGTGTGACTCCTAATGGTCTCAGAATTCCCCAATTCAGACGACATTGTCATTTGATGCCTTCTTTTTCACTCAAATTTAGCTGTGATCATCACTGGGAACTACTCTATCTCAACAATTGTCAAACTGAAATTCCTTCTTTGACCACAAGAAGTGTGGTCAGCCACACCCTCAGCCACCCAAGTGTTTTCCATCTTTAAGGGGAGCACCAACCCCAGTACTTCGTATCTTTCTTATTTTACTGGTCTCTTCAGGCCTCTCCTTTCTGGCCTGAATTCCCTGAATTCATCATTTTAATCATGATCTCATTAGCACTCAAGATTACCATGCTCTGCTGACCCATTGTATATGCTCTTTAATTCCCAGCTTTGTGTTAACCAAGGCATTATTTGTTCTGGTTTATATTTCTACTTCTGAGCCTAGCCTTGCAAGTTCAGACAATCTTTCCTTACACAGATTCTTTTTCCCCTATGACCCGCCATCTTCTCCTTCTCTAAAGTCTCAGAAAAGAGATGTCCCTGGATCCTCTCCAAGGATAACCTATCCGGGTATTTTTTCCCCATCTTCTCTTGATCTTAATCAACTCCTTTACATCTTCAACTTCACCTTCTTGCCTGACCTTGATCCTGATTCCATCTCAAGTGACCTTTTCATTTCTTTCCTAAATGTCTCACATGCTTCTGATTTACAATCTGGAGTCTCCCTTTACAGGTAGTTCTGTCAGGTCACACTTATCTATTCACTATCAAATCCGATAGGATTTCCCCATTCTGCTCAACCTTTCTGATTACTTCTAGCACTGATGACCACCTCTCCTTTAAGCCTTCTCCTCTCTGGACCTTCCTGTCACAGAGCTGTCTTGGACTTCCTCCAGTTTTGATGAGCGCTCTGGCCCCGTATCCTTCCTTGGCTCTGCTTCCCAGAACAAAGCCTTAAGTGGGATCACACTCCCTCAGGCTGGTCTTAGCCGCCTCCCCCCACATTCTCTGGTGACCAACTCACTGTGACAGTGATAACCGGTAAATCCTGGCATGTTTTCACACTGTCAGTCAGTCACATTTCTGACATGGTTGGGTAATGCTAGAGTAAAGAGGAGATTACAGTAGATGCCCTCTTATATAACACAACTGGATCCCATGCTGCTCATTTCATTTTTAATAAAGCAGTTAACATAGGAAATCATTAAAAAACACATATACAAGGGCTTCCCTGGTAGGCCAGGGGACATTGGTTCGGTCCCTGGTCTGGGAAAGCCCTCCAGGCTGTGGGGCAACCGCTGAGCCCAAGCATCCTAGAGCCCGAGCTCTGCAACCAGAGAAACCACCACGATGAGAAGCCTGCACAGCACGCCTGGAGGGCAGCCTCGCTGCAGCTGGAGAGAGCCTGGGCACGGAAGTGACGGCCCAGAGCAGCCAAAATAAAGGTTTTTTAAAAACACACATTCAGACACTTTAACTTAAAATCTAACCATACTTTTTTCCTGAGTTATTTGAGTATAGGTCCACTGATTGAAAAAATCCTTGTATAAGCCAGCTATTCAGCACTGGATAAAATTTCCAGCCTATTTTTAAAAGCAGAACAGGAATTTAAGATGTGAGATACAATTTATGTATAAGCTCTTTCAGAATTTTTATTATTTTCCCCCAAGTCTTTTCTAATTTTGAATTAAACATTTTACAGTAATTTTTTAAAAAGCTATTTACCTATATTAGGTCTTCCAAAGCATTCAACTTAATTTTCTTAAAAACAGTTCTCCTTAAAACTGAGATTTTATCATTTTATCTGGTATTTAATTAAACTGCATATTAAATGTTGATGTTTAATTAAACTGCATATTAAACCCTGGAGAGGGTGTGGAGAAAAGATCCCCACTGTTGGTGAGAGTATAAATTGGTACAACCACTATGGAAAATAGTATGAAGATTCCTTAAAAAAAAAAAAAAAAAAAAAAAACTACCATATGATCCAGCAATCCCGTTCCTGGGCATATATCTGGAGAAAACTAATCTAAAAAGATACATGCACCCCAATTTATTTACTCTACATGTAGTTACAATAATGGGGTTCCTTCTCACTGAAAATAAAGAAAATTGAGACTTTTAAGATCTTACCCTTTTTATACTGTATAATATTCAAGTGACTACCACTAAAGAGTTTAAAGAAATGCAATATTTGGGAGAGAAAACCTTCCTGTTGCCAATATTAAAAAAAAACAACAAATAATGAACTGTTTCAATAATACTGTAGAGATTTGCTAGATATTTCTCAAGTGCGAGATTAAGATGAACTCATTAATCTCAATGGAGTACAGAAGGAAGAGTCCAGAACTCAATGGATCACACTGATCTGTGTTACTAATCTTGAGGGTTACTAATTTTGCCCTGAAAAGTTAGTTCTTACCTAACTTAGCAAAAAGCTTCTAAATATATCTACAACTTGAATAAAACAATTGGAGGAAGTAATACTTTTTTGTTTTCCTGAAATGTATAAAGGAAAAACAAAGGCAAAAGCAATGTTCAAAAAATAACAAATTATTATATCTTTGAATGAATTCTCTTCTCCAGTAATGTCTTGGAAGAACAACTATATTTTTTTATTACAAGCTACACACGCTTTTGAAGTATTAGCAAAACACTCAAGAGGAAATAATTTTTAATGAATATCAGTTCTTTAAAAAACTAGAGATGATACAATAATCCATTTAGGTTTGTTGTAATTGAGAGCTTTAATTGGCCTGTGGGGTAGATTGTATGTGCTGTTAAATGTTGTGCATAATTAGGGGTATATGTAAAAACAAGGTATTTCAGCATAAATTGAATTATTCTGTCAGGTAATACATAACACTGTCTATCCGCCTGCAAACTGCTGGTCTCCTGTTTTTCTGGAATATTGTCATACAAAAAGAAAAAAAAAAGCCTCAGTACTGAGATGAAAGCAAAGTTGACATTTTGCATAATCTGGGTCTCTGCCTTGTCTTTTAATATTAACTTGATTTTTTTCTTCCCCCAACACAGTATAAGACAACGCTAGTAGACTAAAAGGAGGAGAGGGAAAATAACACTTTATAGGGATTTCAAATCTTCTTTTAAACCAGTGATGAAAAATAAAGTACATGAGTTGTTCACAAATTGATTAAGAATAATGATAACCATGATAATACATCAGATCATGATCATTTAACATGGCCCTCAACAAACTGGTGAACTAAATCATTCACTATAACTGCAGCCAAACAGAAACCCAGCCAAATCAAATCAGTTTAATAACAGATATAGCAGGAATAAGCCTTTATACCTTTTATCTCAAGTATTAGTTGTTTTCTCTAAAACATCCAAACAGATCACACAGATAAACAATTCAACTGTAAATAATGTTCTGGAAAATCTTTACCAAAAAGTCAATACTAGTTTACAAATGAAACATAATAAACAATAATTCAGAGTCTTCTCAGTTACTGAAATTCTCTGAGAATAGAAATTTCACTACTCAACCTCTAAAGCGTAATTGAAAAGTGGCAAGCTGGAAGGGCTTTGAGCTTCTGAAAGTCTGTGGTTTTCCCTATTTTTCATGAGTGTTTCCAAGAGTCAGCATGACCAAGAATTATTTCTCATGCTCGCTTGCAAAAGTTCCCTAAAATTAAAAAGCAATGCTAAGCACTTTTAGTATCTCAGAATATAGCTCAGCAAAGCTTACGATTTTACAGATAAGCTTGAGAAAGGTAAAGAAACTTATCCAAATTTACAAGATGGTGGCTGAGCAGGACCAGCAATGAAAACCTCACAGGCAGTTCATGCGACTCTGGGTTGCCTGCAGGGCCACCTCTCTTTATCACTATCACCTCTCCATGCGGCCCAGACTCTCTCTACACAACGGAAATCAGAATCTTCTCCAACTATGATTCTCAACAGCCTCTAAGTCAGCCTTATGTCATCCTAACATACTATTTATGATGCCACTAGCAGAAACTCTCACTTGGTACATGTGTTACAGCTGAAAAAGAATACCAAAACCACCGTGATTAAATAAATTGACAAAACAGTATTAAGCAAACTTGCATTTTCTGATGTAAACTGTCTGATTTAAAGAAAAAGGAATGCATTCCTTATCATCATCAAGAGAAACAATTAACTCTCATCTACTTTAAAGTGAAGAATTAAACACAAAATTACCTTTGAAGGTTTCAAGTTCCTTCCTGTAGAAAAAACAAAGAAAACACACATTTATTAATTTACTCCCAATGGAAACTGCTCTTAGATTACAATAAAATATTAAGTGCTTTAATTGCTGAGAGTGGTATTTCTGGATGCTCACATAGAAACCATTACTCTTTGAAATTACCAATACAGTTAACCTAGAGCTACTATTCTCAGTTTTTCTGCTATTACTCTACTAATGGTTTAAAAAGTTCTACCAAAATTTAAACTATCAAAACACTTAAACAAAAAAACATAAATCATTTTAATGCCAGCCATGAACCATCTAATATATTTAAGAACTAGTTTATAAAAGCAACTTACTTTTCCCTTCATGGATAAATAATAATAGATTTTTAAAAAATCTTTAATTAAAAATCATTCAAAAGAGGAGCAGTTATTTCCCTTTCTAAATGAAAGGGGAAATCATATATCAAAAGGTTGAAGTCCACAGACCATCCTGTCACAAAAGGGCCAAACCTCCGGGAAACCCTCTGGTGTATAATTTCGTGTCAGTTAGGAATGCTGAAACACAAAATCTCCTGGGGAAACGTACAGCCAGGGAAGACAGATGAACAGTTGTAAAACATTTTTGACAAAGAAGTCAAAAGCAAGTTTTTTTCAGGTTTTCCTTAATAATTTTATGATTATATTTTTCTCACTACCAGTACTAATTAAAAGTAATTTTGAAAAGGCAAATTTATTTGTAAAGGCTTATCCCACTTAAAATATGAAATGTTTGTCTTTTATTTGCATGAGGGGTTTAACTAAAAATCTAGAGCTATTCTGGATTCTCAAATCAGAATTCCTCATTGCTAATTACAACACTGCTCATGTTCCAAAACAGTTGACTACCATGAACAGCTGGCCGGGAGGACTGGCAAGCTGCCCATTGAAAAGCCAGTGTTCTTGAAACAGCCAAGTGGAGGTTCTTAAATCACATGGTCATATCACTCCTTTTCTTTTTTTCTAAAAATACTAACTCATGATAACATTACTCCAGCACCAGAGTTCATTAACTAAGGAATAAAAAAGTTACTTTCAATCCTATCTTAAAAAAGGGTGCAATCATTTCCCTTTGGCCAATAGCCCAGCTTCATTCTTAAAAGATTAGGTAGAAAGTTAACCTGCCTGAAACCTATTTTACATTCCAGTAATGGGGTGAACATGCCTGGAGAAGTGGCAACCTACTCCAGTATTCTTGCCTGGGAAACCTCACGGACAGAGGAGTTTGGCGGGCTACGGTCCATGGGGTCGCAAAAGAGTCAAACATGACTTAGCGACTGAATAACAAATGGGATGAAAGCTGAAAAGGCCTAAGAGAAAGGCAGCACGTGCCGAAGACAGCATCCTGAAGGGGCACCTTGTACGTATTCCTCCAGATGCCCTCCTGTGAGCGATCCCCCGTGGCCACCGAGGGTGAACAGGATGACAGAACACTTGGTTCAGTATTCTTTTTTTTCTTTTTTTTAATATTTGTTCGCCTGTGCCCGTCTTAGTTGCAGCATGGGAACTCTTAGATGCAGCCTGTGGAATCTAGTTTCCTGACCTGGGATCAAACCTGGGCTCCCTGCATTAGGAATGCCGAGTCTTAGCCACTGGACCACCAGGGAAGTCCCTCAGTTTCAGTATTCTAATCAATAATTCTCTTTTCTCTGATTACAGTCTTCAGAAAGCCTCTGTTTTCCTTCTTGTGGAACATAAAGCAGTGAAATTTCAAAAAGGCACGTCCTGTTTTTAAAAAAGGTGAAACTGGGAGGAATGATTGCACAGACACTGCTCTTCCCTTACTGCTACCCCAAAAGACAACCATGGAGCCAAGAATCCAGGGTCTGTGTTAGTAATGAGTCAGTGAAGAGAAAGTCGCTTAGGCGTGTCTGACTCTTTGCGACCCCACGGACTCTACAGTCCACGGAATTCTCCAGGCCAGAATACTGGAGTGGGTAGCCTTTCCCTTCGCCAGGGGATCTTCGCAACCCAGGGATCGAACCCAAGTCTCCCGCATCACAGGCGGACTCTTTACCAGCTGAGCCACAAGGGAAGTAATGAGTCATTGCCCGATTAAGAGCTTTCATTGGAGTTACTGTGCCCACCTTCCAACCTGCTGGCTGCCTCATCAAAACAATGGGAACTTGCTACTAGGAAAGAGTAAAGGTGAGCAGGGTGCCTCTTTCTAGGCCCTTATTTACAGAATATCCTGACCCGTGGCAATTCAAGAAACTTCCAAGAGACTTTCTTTCAGAAAGTCAATCAGTCCTGTACCCAGTTCCTTAATCAAGAAGACGGTGGAGGTTGGGGTGGTACAGATGACTGTGGTTTAAGGTAAAGATCACTGTGACAGAAGATAGCACTGAAAGCCTTGAAGTGTCCTAATTTTCAGGGCAGACTCCACACTGCCAGAGGCAACAGCATCCCGGAATACAGAAGGTATAAGAGAAGGGAGGGAACAGCGGTCAGGGTCAGGGTCAAAGTGAAGGCGTGGACGCTGAATGGTGCAGGTCATCTTCAGCAAAGAGCAAGCCCGTTAGGACAGCAGGCTGACTGAAGAGAAAGTAGTGGGAGATGAGGTTGAAGAGGCAAAGGCTTCTGAGTGCCAGGCTAAAAGGATCTGCTTTTATTTTTAGCAGGAGAATATCACGAGCAAAGCCATGCTTCAGGAAGAATGTTCTAGTTGTGACAGATAGATGTACTGACAGCGGGGAGAACGAAGCAGGGAGCACTTAAGAAACTATTAGAGGAGTCTGAAGAAGATCTAATTAGTGCCTGGAAAGATAACTGCAGTGGCAACAGCAACAAAGCATGCTCAGTCGCTCAGCCATATTCAGCTCTTTTCCGACCCCATTGAATGTAGCCCACCAGGCTCCTCTGTCCATGGGATTCTCCACGCAAGAATACTGGAGTGGGTTGCCATTTCCTCCTCCAGGGGCAATGAAGGGAGGGGGTCCAATCTGAAAGCTGGGGAGAAGAGTCAACAGACCATGGCAATTGACCCATGGGGAAAAGCATATAACCATGAGGGCTCTTGTCTGCATCACTGGAAGGAAAGCGAATTCATCAGCAGAAAACAGGAAGAGGAACAGATTTTGGAGGGCAGTGCGTGAGTTCCATTTGGAACGTAATGAAATAATCTGGGAGGTTGGAAACCTAAGGCTGGCGATGCTGAGCCATGACTCCCAACGCTTGCAACCCACTCAAGGACTTAGCTCCTCCACTTCCCGCTGTCCTGAACCCACTCCAGCTTGGCTTCCAGACCCCAGCTCTGCACAGCGAGACCACCTACAACCACCCCGCTGCCGAGGGCAATGTTCGCTCTCACTTTTCATCCGAATCCCTCAGCAGCAATGGACTCCCCTGGCGATTCCGTGAGGGCGTTTTCTCGCGTTTTCCTCCTCCTCTCCCAGTTCCTTTTGCTACTTCTCCACCCCTTTCAGACCACAAGACGCTGGAGCTCTGCCATCTTGGTCCCAGCCCCCTTCTTAACTTACTTGCTCTCACAGGGCAATTCACCCAGCTCCGTGGCCTTAAATACCATCCACAGGCTCTTGATTTATACTTTCTGTCTTGATCTCTTCTTAGAGCTCTAGACTCATACACAACTGCCTATCTGAGACTACTGCTCGGAAGTGAAGCAGGCATCCCAGCAACACTTGCAAAAGAGCCTGTTCTTCCTAGTCTCCCGCACCTTCACTCAGGCCACCATCATGCTCCTCAAGCTTTGGTTGATCCATCTCCCTTCTTCACCACATCCAATCCATCGATAAAACCTGTTAACTCTATCTCAAAACATGTCCCGAATCCATCCATTTCTGTCCATCACCACTACTGTCATGATATGATAAATATCACACCTTGGATAAATACTCATTTTCTTATACTGAATGTAACCTCTGAGTTTGATCGTTCATTCAACAAAAAAAATGTATTGAGCCTTAGACACTAGCAATAATGTTAGGAATAGCAGTAGGAATAATGCTAGGGTTGAGTTATATACGCTCTACAACCTCAAGGAAATTCAGTGAGGGATACAGAAGTGAAGCGACAGTCAGAAGTTGGCGTCATAGATTAGCGCTCTGCTGACGCCAGCCACGCTGAGGAGCCTCCAGGAATACAGAAGAGGGGTGACTCAGACCGTGGGCCAACAGGAAAGGCTTCCTGGAGAGGCCAGGACTGAACAGAGTCTCGAGGGAAAGTGTAAGTGAAGAGGACAGGCGACACTGATTGAGAACGCCGCGTACACTCTCCTCTTGACCATTAATGTCGCCTTCTCAGCTCACCAGGTGAAAAGGCGCAGGTGAGCAGGAGTTTTACGCGTGGTCACTCTCCAAACTCTACCAGAAACGGTTAATGGTAATAATCAAGGTAAAACAGTGTCCAAGTTCGTCTTTTCCATGAAGACATCCGTCACATCCACATGGCCATCGCCTCTTATCTCACCTCCTTCAGGACTCAGGTCCATCAGTGCTATAACACCTGGTACACTGCCTTGTAATGCCATGATTTCCATACAGGTGTCATCCCAACGGGGCTTCCCAGGTGGCACTAGTGGTAAGGAACCCACTTGTCAATGCAGGAGACGTAAGAGATGAGGGTTCCATCCCTGGGTCAGGAAGATCCCCTGGAGGAGGGCATGGCGACCCACTCCAGTGTTCTTGCCTGGAGAGTCCCATGGACAGAGGAACCTGGCGAGGTCATAAACCATAGGGTCGCAGAGAGTCAGACACAACTGAAGTGACTTAGCACACACGTCATCTCTACAATCACACTGCCAAGATCCTGAAGTGCAAAGATGATGTGTCATCTGCCCTGACCACACATGTGCACAGAGTCACACACGACACACACTCAGCAAGTCGGGTTACCAAGAACTCTGGCTGCAGAAGGACTAAACATACCTGCTTCTTAAAAGAAGCCCTTGTTCTAACTAGGAAGGATTTTATTCTTTATTTTATAAAAGAAGCTTGGTCACGTAGTATCTCATCTGCTATGATAACAACTTGTT